CTAACAACACTTTTCTGTGGTGATAAAACTACAAATCCAAAAAATAATGGGTTAGTTCCAAAGGTTAGATCATTATCAATGGCTGGACTGCATTACCCATAATTCCTGGCGAGGCTCTCTGTGACGTCATATCTCTCTCTCTCTCCCTCTCTCTCTCTCGCTCTCTCTGTAGAGACAGAAGCGAGTGATTCTGGAGATCTGTCAGTGCACTGAGACTGCTGGGGACTTTACATGATTTCATTTAGCATAATCCCGACTGTTGTCATCTGTGTCCGACATTACCCGAGCCAGTCCAGCTGGAGTGTGTGTAGTGTGGCGCACATCTGAGAAGGCTCACTAAAAGTCTAATTAGAGGTAAGCTGTGTTACCTTTAGTGAACAGAACTTAAAGCACTTTAATGTGCAAACGTTTGCAAGAAGCTGTGGTCAATTTAACTACCTCCGCAGAAATTAACTAAACTAAAATAATCCTACTAGTTATATAAATATTCAAATTACTCCGTGTCTGCTTTACTTTGTTATGATTCAAAAGGAGAAAAAAAATGTTTCACAGAGTTAAATGCTCATCTTTACTTCAAATGCCTGCTTTACCTTCTCTCTTCATATCTGTAGATTAAAATATGAATCACATATACAGGACTATTTCTAGGCTAGATCAAATATCATTTATTAGTATGCATTCATCTATATTGTGCTCTGCTTCGGTTGTCGTTGATTGATGGATTGATCATCTGTCGTGATATATCTCAGTTTAACATCTCAGGCTACGATACAATTAGCATTACCAAAGTTTTGTAAACACCCGTACCAAATAATTTTGTGCATGATATCAAAATATTAGTCTTTGTCACAAAAAAGAAGTGAAAAGGTATTTTGAAACAGACAAATAAATAGATGTAGAAAATCTCATATGTAAACAATAGAAAAGTTTTATTGTTAAATCATTTACAGTTTTTATTTTCATTTAGTGAACTTTTTCACACACTAAAAAACACAAGCAATATTACAAAAATGCATCCATAACGTTTAACATTGTAAGGCTGTTCCATTAAAAGAAAGTCACTCTCTCTGAATAATGAAAACAGCTTGAACATTACATTACCGCTTGTTTGTTTACCGTTTTGTTGAATAGTGCAAATTTCCACACTTTATTTCATTGAAAAAAATTGTAATTAAGTTCTTGTCAGCATTTTGTAATTTTGTGCAAACTTAATGCATAATTAACATTTGAACTAAATGAAGTAAACTGAAACACACACACACACACACACACACACACACTTCATCCCTTCACTGTCTTTGTTCTCCTTCTGTCTTCAGCTCTAGCTGACCCAATGTTTTCACGATTGCGAGTGTCGGGGTGTGTGTGTGTGAAGCCGAAACACTGCTCTGGGTCTCAACCGCTCTGAGAATCACTACTGATACACACACTGCAATGAGTGTGTGGAAAGAGCAGGGACAAACGTCAAACCTTCTATAAGTGTGTGCTATGATGCTTGCTCTATTGTACAACATTGATAAAACGGTGTTGTGTAATGAAGAGCCGATTTGGCGAGAAAAATAACGTATGATTTTAGATCCTGTTGAAACAGATCATTGAAGTTCTATTTAGAACCTTAGGGTTCTAGACTCAATTCTAAATAACCATTTATGCCAGAAATACTTTAAATTATTACTTTAAATTATTTACTTTCATGGTTAATGAGTTATTTCTGATAAAGTACGTTACATAATTACTTTATGAAATAACTAGATAGATAGATAGATAGATAGATAGATAGATAGATAGATAGATAGATAGATAGATAGATAGATAGATAGATAGATAGATAGATAGACTTTATTAATCGTTCTCTGAAAATTAGATCAATAGAAGCAACCAAATTCAATTCTCACACAGACACCTTATACTTCATAAAACAAAAACGTTCACTAAAGCATTCTATAACATATAATATATTAATTAAAACATGATTTGATAATACTAAAAACAAACACACAAACAAAATCAACTAAAGCACACAACCCCTATTTTAATCATGTTTCTATTTTACATTTTAATAACCCCTATTTTAATTAAAACTAAGTCCATAAAATGACCCATTAAAGGTATAAATTTAGACTTTACAGTTCTATAGAGAAGCTTTTCTTCTAGTGATATTTGCATTAGATCCTTAACACAACTTTAACTTTGCATTGTACATGAAGGCTTATAAGTTTGAGGTCATTATCAAAACAGAGCGTTGCGCTGCTAAAACACTGCCGTTAAACACTCACACACACAGTGAATCAGGCTGTGTAAAGCAGCGCAGAGTGTGTGTCAGCATCAGCGTGGAGGTCGTGTGTCATAAAGACCCTCTGTTGTGTGACGGTGAAGTCAGCGTTTGACTCGTGCGTCGGGATGGGTGTGTGTGTCCAAAGTGAATGAAGCTCTGTGTCGACATACACACCTTCCCTCTCACACACTGATCTTCAGAGCTCCATTAGACCACACTCTCAGAAAAATGGCACAAAATACAGCCACAAATGCACCATTTATGTACTAATATGTAATCTGCCCTCCTCGGGTGCTGAGGTGATGTTTTGAAAGGGGTCCGCCTCCAGTGACAGCTGGGTTTTTGTCAATCATACTTTAAAATTGGCTTTTACTTAATTCTCTCTCTCTTTGAGCAAGAGCTGCATGTATTAGTCCGCATGAAAGAGAATTTGTGATAGTCTTTTCTTCACCATCGTGACGTGTATCCGAGTGAAACGCTTAACAAACAAGAAAAAATGTGGGCGGGGCTTGCTTTTGTGATGAATTGATTGGATGGTTGTGGTTTGCTATTTGGTGGATCTGATGTGAGTGACAGGTTGCCCCGCCCTCGTCATCAGAGAAGGTACTTTGATGAAAGATTACGAGAAAGGTGAATTTTAAAAATATATATGCGCAGATAAATGATTTATAATCGATACAGCTATATTCCGTTTTAAATGAGAATTGTCAATTTTGATTGCATCGTGACTTTAAGTTAATTTTGCTTTGTGAGGTAAAAAATTATGGCCGTAGGCGTAAAACAAAGGTTTAAATTCTCCCTGTGGTGAAAATCACACTTTTAATGTTGTTTATGTGTCTATGTGGTCTTTTTAATATGCTTTAAGACACACCATGTGTCAATTCATAGAAAGTATTTTCTGCTTAAAAATGCAGTGAACCAAAGACAGTCTCTGAAATCGCTGGTGTTTCTGACGTCACACACTACCTTTTAACCAATCAGATCAACGTGTGATCGCCAACGAGTGGATCTCAGTGAGTTGAGGTGTGGCTCATTTGCATATTCATCGAAACTCACATTCTAAATTAGGCAAGAGTGTAGAGTTACAGTTAAGATATTTTAAAGCATTAAGGCAAAAAACGTTTAAATTTGTCATTTTGGTGAGTTTTAAGAGACACAATGATTGACTATGAGGGACTTTGAAATGAAGACCAAGCAGAAGTCAAGTCACTGATTCGGAAATGGGCGGGGCCAACATTGCCCGCATTTTGACTTTGGCCAATGGAGACAACTGATTAATATTCATGAGGCCGATTGTTTTGCGCGACAGAAGCTGAAGAAAACGCGATCTACCTGAGGGAAGAAAGAGATGTCCTCGACGACTGTAAGTTAATGTTGAATAGATAAAAATAAACTTTTTTATCCGTTGGTTTAAACTAGCCTATTTTTTTCCAGTAGGTTTTATTAGGCTATGAAAATACAAAATGTTTCTTAAAAGTTGATAAATATTCAAGTCCCGGCCTTATGAATGTCTCTCTATCATTACTTGTTATTGTTTTTATAAGTGATCTGAAGAGTTTCACCTGGTGCACAATAACATTATACCCTAGCAACCCTCCTTAGCAACTGCCTAGCTATCTTTATCCTTAACCCAAACGCAACACCGGACCAGAAGTCTCAGCTAAACTTGTACACGTGTGTGTGTGTGTGTGTGTGTGTGTTTGGATGCTCATAAATGGGTCATAAATCACAGTTCCTCATTAGCAAACATGCATACTTCAAATAGCACGTGCCCAGAGAGGTGTGTGTCAGTGTGTGCCCTACATCAGAAGTGTGTGCACTGTGCCCAGAGAGGTGTGTGCCCTACATCAGGAGTGTGTGTACTGTGTTGCCGTGGAAATACTGCACGGTGTTGTTACCGGCTGGCAAGAGTGCAAATTTCTCCTGTATTCTGAGCAAATGTCTGGCATGGATACAGGGACACACTCACGTCACACACACTCTCTCTCTCTCTCTCACACACACACACACACAATCACAAACACACACATGCACACACGCAAAGCCAGATATATTTCTTAAGAACATACGGTGAGCTCTAAAGGCAGTGTGTGAGTGAGTGAGTGTGAGTTTGTGTGTGTGTGTGAGTGAGAGAGAGAGAGAAAGAAAGAGAGGGGGGGGGGGAGTGTATGTGTGTGTGCATGAATTTGTGTGAGAGTGAGTGTGTGTGAGAATGAGGTGAGGAGTTTATTCACACGACGTCGGAGTGTGTCTGTCAGTCGCTGGTGAAGTGCTGGATCAGATATCAGTGTGTCGGAGTCTCTGCTCCTCCACTCAGTCCTGCAGGAGAGATGAGCACAGGAGGCTGGAGGTCTGCACTGACACATGTGGGTTAGTTATGAAGTCAGTTATGCTGTTAGATATGAAGTTAGTGAAGTCAGTTATGCAGTTAGTTATGCAGTTAGTTATGCTGTTAGTTATGCAGTTAGTTATGCAGTTAGTTATGAAGTCAGTTATGCTGTTAGTTATGCAGTTAGTTATGAAGTTGCTGAAAAAATGAATCGCACAGTTGCACTACTCTAATACTCAGTATCTGTCTGTTGATTTTGTGTTTATGTTCGTCTGTTGTTTAGTTCTTGTGTTTGCATTTGTTTGTTTGTTTGTTGATTTGTCCTTGATTTGTGTTGTTTTTTTTTTCGTATTTATGTTTGTTGTTTTGTAGTTGTGTTTATGCTTGTTGGTTTGTTTGTTGATTTGCAGTTGTGTTTCTTCGTTGGTCGATGTGTACGTTTGCTGCGGTACATTTTTACGTTCACCTATCGTTTGGTTAATTTGTGCTATGTTACATTTTAATTTATGTTTGTATGTTTTGTGTTTGCTGGTTAATTCGTGCTTTACATTTTTAATTGTTTTGTTGTTTAATAATTTCTTGCTTTGCACTTTGTTGAGTCGTGCAGATGTGTGTTTGTTGCCTCGCACATTTATTTTTGTTTTGTTTTTGTTTCTTTCATTGCACTTGTGCTTGATTGTTGGTTTGTGCTTGTGTGTGTGTGTGTGTGTTGGTTTAAACATGTATTGCTGGTTTAGTTATGTTAACCCTGGTGTTTGTTTGTTGATGTGTGTGTGTGTGTGTGCGTGTGTTTTTATCCACGCAGCAATTTGTGTTGATGTTTTTTTGTGTCAGAAAGGCGATGTCTGTCTCCTGCTATTTTTATGTTTGTGGTTTTTATCGCGTGTCAACATGACTGACTCTCGTGACCGCTTGACCCTGACGGAGAAAAACAACACTGATGCCAGCTCGCGCTGAGAGGAAGTGAAACCATCTCACAGGTCTTCGTGGAGGATCTCCTGATTCATATTTTGAAGACCTCTTTGCTTTTACTTGTGTGTTGTTTGTTATTGGACTTTTTTGTTTATATTCTCTTTTGATAAGTCATAATAATTTTTTTTGCTCAGTTTGTAGCACTATTGTCTCAGTGGCGCCTCCCTACAGGTGCAGATAAGACTTGCATCGCTAACATTCAAGGCTTTAGATGTGCATCGAAGTAAACAGTTACCAAACACAGGCATCTGTTGCTTACTCATTCCCGCAGATTAATAACGTAACGTGTGTTTTCATGTGTTTGCAGAGGTCTTCTGGTGAGGCTGTGATGGTGGACCTCTGAGGAAGAAAGATCACGAAAGGCAGAACACATTTGAGAGGAAGTGTTTGAGCAGAAGAGAGAGCGATGTTGTCCCCCGAGCAGGAGCCGCTGAGCTCGTCTAAACCCGTCAAATACGGAGAGCTTGTCATCCTCGGGTAAGGTTTGCACTCATGCTTAAGCAAGTCTTACTAATGCGAGTCACTCTAATATGATTTGATGCTCAAGAAATGTTTCTGTGTTGATCAATGTTGACATATTGAATTACATTTTTAAAGAAATCATGATACATTTTATTTTTGATGATTCCTTGATAAAAAGTTCAAATGAACAGCATTCATTTGAAATAGAATCTTTTGTAACATTATAAATGTCTGTACTGTCACTTTTGATCAATTCAATGCATCCTTGATGGAAAAGTATTAGTTTTATAAAAAAAATTGACCCCAAACATTTGAACAGTAGTCGATGAGAGTGAATAAATGAACGAATCAGTGAATGAAGTGAGTGAATGAATGAATGAATCAGTGAATAAAGTGAGTGAATGAATGAATCAGTGAATGAAGTGAGCGAATGAATGTATCGGTGAATAAAGTAAGCGAATTAATGAATCAGTGAATGAAGTGAGCGAATGAATGAATCAGTGAATGAAGTAAGCGAATTAATGAATCAGTGAATGAATGAATCGGTGAATGAAGTAAGCGAATTAATGAATCAGTGATTGAAGTGAGCGAATTAATGAATCAGTGATTGAAGTGAGCGAATGAATGAATCAGTGAATGAAGTGAGCGAATTAATGAATCAGTGATTGAAGTGAGCGAATGAATGAATCAGTGAATGAAGTGAGTGAATGAATGAATCAGTGAATGAAGTGAGTGAATGAATGAATCGGTGAATGAAGTGAGTGAATGAATGAATCGGTGAATGAAGTGAGTGAATGAATGAATCGGTGAATGAAGTGAGCGAATTAATGAATCTGTGAATGAAGTGAGCGAATGAATGAATCTGTGAATGAAGTGAGCGAATGAATGAATCGGTGAATGAAGTGAGTGAATGAATGAATCGGTGAATGAAGTGAGTGAATGAATGAATCGGTGAATGAAGTGAGTGAGTGAATGAATGAATCGGTGAATGAAGTGAGTGAGTGAATGAATGAATCGGTGAATGAAGTAAGCGAATTAATGAATCGGTGAATGAAGTGAGCGAATTAATGAATCGGTGAATGAAGTGAGTGAATGAATCGGTGAATGAAGTGAGCGAATGAATGAATCGGTGAATGACTTGAGCGAATGAATGAATCAGTGAATGATTGAATCAGATTGTGTTTACCTCACAGCTACAACGGCTCTCTGCCGAACGGAGACCGGGGCAGAAGGAGAAGCCGCTTCGCTCTGTTAAAGAGACCCAAAGCCAATGGAGTGAAGCCCAGCACCGTCCACAGCACATGCAGTCCGCAGACCGCCAAGGTACACGCTGACACCAGCACCGCTTTATATGACTTTAAACGTTTATTGCTCATTCATGTGTCACATTGGAGCCGAGGGTTTAAAAGTGAGCTTTTCTCCTTATCATTCCTCACGGTCTAAGGCATGTTAACTCATGCAG